AACAACAAAGCTATATCATTATAACTTCAACATATACCTTTAAACATTTGTTGACTTGTAAAAAAGAATTAACAATTTAAAGAAACACTTATTATTTCAGTTTACAAATGTAAGAAAAGTGAAAACCGTCAGAAATAAAATATTTCCAATAACGTCACTTTTGAGTCCATATTTTTCACATTTTTTTGAAACTTATAAAAAAATAAACGTTACACAAAGGCCTTCCCCAAATAGTAAGCCAAAAAATGACCAATGAGAAGTTAAATAATTTATTTACAACATTCAAAATCGAAGCCTTGAACCGAAATGACTAAGAAATTGACAGCAAAGCACTTATAAATCGTTTAAAATGTAACATGACCACAAGTCAATGTTCAAGATTGTCAAGACTTTAAGAACGAAATTGGATAAGAGTCTCTTATCGCAGAAGAGAGCACTTTGCATCCATTAGTGCAACACAAGCTGCGAAATTCCTAATCGCAGAATATAAAAATGAAGTGCGGACCGCAAGCCGAAATGCAATTATTTTTGCCGTCCGTCCAAAAACCCGGTCGGTATTTGCATATTGTCAACATAATTAAACAGGCTTTTGACTTGTGGTTACACGCCCACTCGAACACACACGTGCACACGGGCACACACTGCGTATGAATATGTATGAACACCCACTCGTTCATTCAGAAAACATTCAGTCGAGTGTCCTTGACTGGCGCTGCTGAATACCGAGTGCACAACACTGAATCCTGGAAACTGGTTACTGGATACTGGAAATGCAAAATTGTTTTTGGCAAAGTGCACAATGCACTTGACGACTGTCAAAACGGACATGAAACAGGGCAAAGGGGGGGGCTGTCTGTTGTCCTGTTTTGTCCATGTCCTTGTTATTTATGTAAAATGTTGCACAACATTTATTGTCCCCCACAAATAAAATTGTCCTTAACTGAAAGAAAATGAGGACAATTGCAGCAACTTTTCCGGCAATTTTATATATTGAAACAATGCCATCGTCCTTGCTGCTTGGGTCAGCAATAAAAATTTGTCCTGCGGTAAATGAAATGGATAGCAATTGCGATTGCGATAACTGGCTGCCCAATGGTCAAGCCAGCAAGCGCGAAACTTCCCTTCGCCCATCGCCCATCGTCCATCGCCCACCAAAAAATCACGATACAAAAAAAAAGAAAAGAAAAGGGAGAAAAATCGGCAAAAACAACGGGCCACATAATACAAGTTATAGCCGGGTCGAGGTCACCACTGACGGGTGTCCTCCTTCCGTACTTGCCTACCCTATAATCGCAGTCCTTTGGGAGTCCTTCTTGTGCGTGTCATCATTAATGGATGGCAATGTTCTCAGAAATCCCATGGAAATTGCAAAAAAAAAACCAAGCCATATTAAAATAATTTCAAGGCAATTATTGCAGAAGAAAATTGCATTCAATTGCGTTCAATTATCGTTGAGAAATACACTTAAAGATAAATCACAAATAGCAATATATAATAATTTTTTGTTTTACAATAAATTTCTATTGAAAAATCTCTTGCTGAGCATTGAATTATTAAAACTATTAGTATTATTAAAAACTACAAATCAGTGCGTCATGTCTACTTAAGTTAATAAATCATTTTGGCAGAGTGTATCCCATTACTCGCTGGACTACTGGGTATCGGTTCGATCACTACTTTCTGGGTTGGTCACTCTTTTGTGTGTGGGAACAGTTTCTGTTGTTTTTGTCTAAGAGGCGATTTCGGTTTCAGTTTGCAACTTGTTGGCATTGCTTTTCGATTTCTGCACTTGTCGGCAAAGTGGGCTTTGTTTTTTAATATTGCACTTTTGTTTCGAGTATTTCGTACTCTATTTTTTTTTCGGGAAAAGTTTATCTGGCTTGGATTACTGGGTCAATTGGTTGGGTGGCCTCCGCTGTGGGGACAGGGGCTTGCCTAATTAACAAAGTCCTGCCTGAAAAGGAAAGTTAAGCACACCCCCCCACTCCACAGTTTATATCTATCCCTCTCACTCTCTATCTCTGTCTCTGTCGCTGTTTTGTTCAACTGAACTTTGACCCGTGCATTGACATCGTTTTTGCGTAAACTATAGAACTGTGTCAGGTAATTGCGTTCAATAAGCAGGTCGAATTGGGAACTGGGACTCAGAAAGAGACGGTGAGATATGGCAAAAGGGAGAGGGCTATATATGAAGATATAGATATAGAAAGAGAAACCAAGAGAGAGAGAGAGAGAGAGACAGAGACACACATGGCCGTCGAGTGTCACTTACATCCTGCATAATTGGTTTATCAATTGCTGTTGGCCCATTCAAATAACCAACTTGCATTTGTGAGTTTAACTCGAGGCATGTGAGCTAACCCCTCTTTTCACCCCCCCATCTCTGCGCCCATTTCATGCCCCATAAAGCCAGTTAAACCCAAGATGACACCATCTACAACCCCCCCTTAAACCACTGCGCCCCTGGACTTTCCCACTTTGACCGCACAAATTTGGAGCAAGGCAATGATTAATTTATGCGAAATCCGAAACGAAATCGTGCGAAAACCAAATTTGCTCACCACACACAATTTAAATGCGAAAAGAGATGACATTCGTAGGTCTCTGAAATGCTCTGATAAAAACGGTGTATATAGAAAAAGAAACGAAAAAATTGGGAAAGTACAGAAGCTACTTAAGTAAATGTTGGCAAACTGTAACTAGTGAAAATTAAATATTAACTTTTCTTTCTTCAATATTTTTAGAGAATTTTAAAAGACACATTTTTCACAGAAAGTTTATTGTTACAAAATGTACTTTTAAAAGCTTCTAAAATGTAAACCTTTGATAAAGGTTTTTGAAGACTGCTAAGCTGCTAAATTTATATCGTTACTTTATCATTTAAATTTGGTAATTCTTTTAGATAATTTTCATTGAAAATAACTATTAGTAATTCGCATTATAAAAAGTTGTAAACTGTAGTAAGCATAATGGTTCTGCGGGATAATTAAGCTTTATATCGTCTGTGTGCATCTTGGTTTATGTAAGCCATACTTAATTCATTGAATATTATGTAAGCCCGTCTCTGGAGAAGTCTATCTAATCCCACTCTAACTTCTGGATATTCAGCCGCACTTAGCCGCACAAAGAGTCTCCATTCCAATTGGCATCTTCGATGGCACCACTCTTTTTTTTTCGACCCCCATTTAAAGCCCCCTTGCTCTTCAACTTGAATGCAATCAAGGATTTTTTCGACTGGCCAAAAGTGCGCTTTCAGCCATGTTCTTTCGAGCGGACATTGGTCCTCTATCCCCTCTCCCCCCCTCAAAATCCCCACAATCCCCGACTGAATCACGGTCTGGCCACGATTATAAAGCCCGGGGCATAAATATTAGCAAAGGCGTTGCCGTTGACGTCGCTGCAGTCATTTAAATGTTGTCGGTCGTTGTGGTTTCAGATCCTCCACAGTTCTTCCTGTTCCTGCTCCTCCTTCCCCTCCTCCTTTTTTGTCCACCCCTTTCCCACTTCCCTGTTCCTGCTGATTATGCCTGTCAACGAAGTTTTCACATACACCGCGAAATAAAAATATAATAGTTGTGGAAATATATATTTTTCCCAAAAAAAAAATATAGTTACAAAACTGTACTCTACAAATCAATACCGGTTTTTAGTAACTTTTTAAAAGTAAAAGTAGTAGTAACTTTTTAACTCGTTTGTAAATATAATAAATATATGTAAGCTACTTCATCTTTATAAAATATAAATACTAAAAATATTAATTTTAATTTTAAGAACGAATTTCAAGCCACACAAATTTGTAATCTAATAATATATTTCAAGTCTTGAAAAAGAGGAAGTTAACCTTTCAGTTAATACACATTGCTGTATTTTTCCTACTCCATTGTATTCTGAAACTACATTTTTTTTTCGCCGTGTAATACACTGCTTAACCCTTTGCCACCCCAGAAATTCAGCTCGGCGCACAATGAATTAAATGAATCTCAATTTCCGTTCGGTTTGCGGTTAAAAGCCGCAGTCGTCGTCTTGGTCTTCTGGGCAAAATGCAAATTCTCTGGCGGCGAAAATGAAAACAAGCCGAAAAACTCTCTCGTTGCAACAACAACAATGGCAGCGGGAATTTTCCCATCTCCGTCGACTATTCCCCCCATCCCCCATACCACCCTCCTCCCCTTGTCCTGACCTTTCACCCATTTGAACCCGCCTGGTGTGCTGCATCAATTGCCTGGCTTCCATCTTCCATTCATTTCTCAAGTTTCTTTCCGTAAATTGCTGCAAGATGCCCCCGAAAAAAAACCGATGCCGGGGGCAAGGATTTCTGGCCCCCGAAACTTTTGTGCCGGCAAAACTTTTACAACTGCACCAGGACGATGATGAGATTGGGTGGAAGCAGGAGCAGAAGGAATCAGGAGAAATCGGGAGGAATCAGGAGGAATCAGGAGGACCAGGAACCAGGAGGCCAAGTCGCTGGGTCGCCGTCTGCAAAAGTTTTGCGATTTGTTTGCGCGAAATAAACGCGACGCAGATAATTTGCGCAAAAGTTCGCTTACTGCCCGCCGACCTCGCGGAAGCCAACCCGAAATCCAACCCAAGACCAAGACCAAGACCCAATCCCCCTCAGAAACCCATCTCCCAAAACCCATTCCCATTCCCATTCCCACTCCATCTTGTCCAACAATTTCATTTGGGAATATGTATTTCTGGTATGTCCAAATAAACCAACCGAAATGAAAATGTTTCGCGTTCGTTTGAAAGTTTGGGTAAAGAAGTTTTGTTTTTTGTTCAAAAATGCCACACTCGTTGATTACTGAATCCATTACCCATGTCGAGGGTTTCTCATATGAATTACCGGTTCAGGATAAGATTTTAATCTCGAAATGTTGCCCAAATGAGTTGAGTTTGTTTACTAATTTAATTAAATGAACTCGTTAGTTGACGCCTAATTAAAATATTTTTTCTGATGATTACAAATCAGGTTCAAGGGGATTTTACTTACTTACTACTATACTTTAAAGCCTTTTTCCTTTTTTATTTCATAATAACGACAATAAATATAAATCCTTCTAATTCACAGATAATTTATACTTGAAAATATAACATGTATATAAGTAGAGCCGCGAATCCCATTCGCCAAGTAATCATATCCTTTTGTCACTATTCACTAAATAATCGCCACTCGTCGATCGCCAAATCAATGGACAAAACTCCGGGTCTGGGGCTTCCGGTTCGCAGTCGCATACATGTTGTGGAACTCGTTGGTGGAGATGAAGTCGATGATGGGCAGTCGATTGGTCAGCGGCACCACCACATCCTTGGCGGACAGGCCCACGGAGGAGCCACCGACGATGGCCGACAGGCCGGGATTGGTTCTCTGATGCACTGATCCTGGTGGCAGAGCAGCGCCAGCCGATCTATATGGTCTTCTGGCTGCGCCTGCTACTGCTCCTACTGCTCCAGATCCTCCTGCTGCTCCACCTCCTCCTGATCCTCCTCCTGCTCCTCCTGCTCCTCCAGCTCCTCCTGCTCCTCCACCTGCTCCTCCCAATCTTCCCTCGAATCCTGCACCACCACGTAGTCGCATTTGTTGATCCTTCGGCTTCGCCTGGTGCATCCGCATGCCAAGGTTGTGGAAAAAGTCCACACCCTCGGAGGCCCTGGACTCGATCCTGGTCATCCAGCGGGAATCCATGCGGAGCACAGGTTGCTTTCCGCCGCCAGTTGAAGCCTTCTTCTTGGCGCTCTTCTGCGCCTTCGATTCCTTGACCAGAAAGAGTACCGGAGTGCCGGCCTTCTTCTGCAGACTGGCGTCTATCAGCTTGGTCCTGCGGGACATGCCCAGGGATTGCAGGGCATCCTGCGGTGGGCGTTGGGACTTCTTGAAGGTCACCTGCGTCTTGGCCGGCGGCTTCTTCTTTTGCGCACCCATTATCGTGGGTTGCAAGACGGCACGCATCAGTGGAGAACGACGCATGGGTTTCTTCAGAGGATTCTTCAGGGATTTCTGGTGCATCTTCTTCAAAGTTTGCTGCTTCGACGATTTCTGCTGCATCTTTAAGGTTTTCGGCTGTATCTTCAAGGTTTTCTGCTGTATCTTCAGGGTTCTCTGCTGTATCTTTGGTATCTTCTTGACCTTGCTGGAAATGATGGGATCTTTTGCTTTGGCCAGCGGCACAGACTTCAGCGTTTTGCCACCTTTCGTTGACGATCGCTGCTTGGACTTCATCATAATTTCGTATGTCTAGTGTTTTAGTTAAATAAATTGCAATCTCCGCTTCGATGCGTTGCACGCAGTTTTAACTGGGAATTTTGGCGTGATTTCGGGAGGGGTTTTTTATCCGGCTTGTACGGCTTTCACAGAATATTTCGAAATCGAATGTCTCGGCTTGAAGGGTTGACTCGGAATGGGGACTGGGAAACGGATTTCGTAGTGTCACAATCTGTGGAGTCGGGCCTACTTGTCCACCTCGTCTCTGTGTCTACCGAACTTGAGCACGTTCCGCCTCCTGTTTCCTGTCACCTCTTGACTTGCCCTCAGCTTGTTTGTTTGTCTTGAGTCAACTTATATTTGCTTTTCCCCCTTCCTTTCCTTTCATTTCCCTTCGCTTTTCTTTTTTCTTTCCCTCGGGCTAAAAAAAAACTTGAAATCAACTTCCGTTTTTGGCCCTTGATTTGCATATGCACATTGGCATTGCAAAAAGAACGTAACATTTAGAGTCAAATGTGTATTTATCTTACATATTGTATTAATATATTAAATTCACAATCTCCTTAAGTTTTCTTTTGTAAAACAGTTTGCCCAATTTAAATTTTGCCCTATTGATTTTTACCCCAGCAACTCATTAATAAAGTACGGACTAGCGTCATCTACTCATGTGCCCTTTTCCCTATTTTCCTCCATTTCCTTGGCTTTCGGTTTTAGTTTACTTCTTTCGCTCATTTTGGTGTCAAGCGTTGCGTATCATTTAATGTGACACACTTAACTGGGAAATGGGGGAAATGGGGGGAGTGCGGGGTGCTGGGCTTTTCCAGACTGACAGCCTAACACATGTTAGCTGAATGCTAATTTGCTGTGCTAAGCGAATGACAAAAAACAGGAATAGGACTTCAAACCAGAGAGTTAATGCACTACAAAAAACTATTTACATAAATTGTATATAATTAGATAATAAATATTTTAAATTTTATATAGTTATCAAGTACAAAAAAAAAGATATTGTTTTATAAAAAAGTATTTAAATATTATGTAAATATTAATATAGATAGAATTGTTTTTTCGCCCTGTAAAAACTTTTTACATAAACTGTATATAATTAGGTTCAATTAGATAAAAGGTATTTTAAATTTTATTTAATTATCAAATACAAAAAAAAACATTTTGTTTTATAAAAAAGTATTTAAATATTATGTAAATATTAATACAGATAGAATAGTTTTTTCGCCCTGTACTTGGTAATATTCAGTTGGGTGGACCATTATTCAGGTCCCAGGAACAGGAACCCATATACAACACACACACACACACGCACTTGAGCAGCTGGCAAGACAGGAAATCAACAGGACACCAGCACACAGACACAAACAGCTGTTGTTGGGACTTCCGCTCTCGGTCAGCTTTGATATATGATCAGGAATCAAGTCTTTGGCCCGCCACATATGTATATAACTACATCTGGGGACGAGTAAATTGCAAACTGAAGCAATCAGCTTATGTCCGTCGTGGTTTACTTCTCCTATTTTCGTCTCTTTTTGTCTTGAACTAGGCATGAATATCACGTTTCTTTGGTGTGCAGCTATATCAAGTATACGCAATATCACGTATTCGCTGCATTGGCCAAGGAGTGACCACTAAATTTCTCTCTCTCTCTCTCTCTCCATTCCTTCTTTATTCCTTTTTAAAATTCAATTTTTGAAATGATTTTCGCTTAACACCTCAATGGGTCCCCCGGATGTCAGTTGCAGCCGCCACAAATAGCAACATGCAACATGCAATCTGCAATCTGCAACCTGCAACACCAGCAGCAAAATGTTGTTTTCCGCTTAAGCACATCGCTGCAAAAATAAAAAGCAATGAAACAAAGAACACCGAGTGGAGCCAGCCCCATTCCCCAAAAACCAATCCCAGAAGTGCGTCCGTCCAAACGTTTGTTTATTTTATTTTGCCGCACAATTTTGCTCCTTCTTCGCCACCTTCTTCAATGCCCCTTTCTCCGCTTTCTCCTCATTCTTCGGCTTCGTCTTCGCCGCTTGTTTCTTAAGCAACAGCAACAACAATGGGCACAATGAAACCTCAGTCGAGGACCAGGCCAAAAAAAATGGAGTAAGAGTCCTGGTTACTCGACTTGCAAGATGCGCTGTAAATCTATCTAAAGTCCTTCTCACTTCATTAAGTATTATTTACGAATCTAACAATTGATATTATGTAATAATATCACGACTTTAGAAAATTCCTGAATTTACTTTCAAATTTCATGTGTTTTAAGAGGTGTGTTTATTAAGCTTCCCATTTAATTATGGTTTTTTTATTTTGTTATTTAAATCTCTCAGTTAAATGAACTGGCAACATTCTTCGATAATTTATATTTTAGTGGAAAATCTATTATAAGAAGATAATTTATTACGAACTCAATTATTAGGCTAGTCTTTCACAATTATTGAACTTGAATTACCTCGTAGCAATTCAGTTTTCCATTCACTGAGCAACTGCTGATATACCCTTGATACCTTTTCTTCTGTTGTTCATGGTGAAAAATGAAACAAAACAAATGAAACACAAAAAGGAGCAGAGCACCGACACAGCGTCGGCAGAAAAGGATGAAAAATAAAAAACGAAAAGAAAAAAACATACAAATGTGCACATGCTTCGTTGCCTGGAGTGCGCTATTTTGCACCTACGGGATTTTGTGCCTCACACACACACAACAGCAAGGAAACACACACACACACATACACACATGCAAAGCGTGGAAAATCCATTCGAAATCAGTCAACGCGCCAAGGCTTTCATTCAGTTAGAAAGCAGACAGCAGACAAGCAAGGGCAGGCAAAAGGGGGTGTGGATTTCAAGAGGGGCTTTTTTCAGGGGGTTTTACAGGGGTCTTTTCCGGAGGGGAAGGGGGGAGGGGACGGTAGGGGTCTGGCCTTTCCACCATGGTACCCAAGCTCCAAGCTTGAAGCGGAAGTGCGGCTTGATTTACTCAACTCGTTTGCTCGCTCGTTTGTTTCCAACTGCTGCAAACATATTTTTTTCTGCACCACCCCAGCTAAAATATTTATTAGCCCTTAAACAAACGGAATAGATGTGCGGCCCCATGGAAAACTACACACCCAACCATATATGGGACCCAACTTAAAGACTCTTCAGCCAAATGGCCCGGAAAGTAAACTACCATCTTCCTCCAAAAAAAAAAAAAAAAAAAAAACGCAGAACAAACTACCCTGTTTATTAAGGCATTTCTTACGCATCATTTGTTGCTTGGCCAACAAAAACACATGGAGAAAAAACGAAAACGAAAAGAAGAATGCAAACCAGTTGGGGCCGGAAAATGCCGATGAAAACGCAACTTCAAGTTTGATTAAGTGAAGTCTCGTTTGAGTAATGCGGATAACTCGAACCAAAGCCAGCCACTCACGTCCTCGTACGGAATGCATCAATCAAAATCGAACTAGAACAAAAGTACACCCTTAATTGGGCCGATGGACAGGAAGGGGACTAAGTAAATCGCCAAATTAATTGTGAGAAGGCAACACCAAGAAAGTAAAGAAAATCCCAGATTGAATCCAAGTCCAAGTCCAAATCCACACAATGCCGGGTCAATGGACTGGACTCAACTGAACCAAAGGCTGGTGCAAAAGAAAGATGAGGTCCTTTCGGAAAGGAAGTAAAGTAAGCGAAAGGGCAAAAAAGTCAATAGGCGGGATTAAATATACCGAAATAAAGAAACGAGAAAATGTTAAGGCCAAGTATTTGGTACCAAAAGATACCCATTAATTATTGCATCTCTAATCTTTTTAATTATTGCATTTTAGTCAATCAATCAATTAATATCTTTTTGATAGGAATTAAATTGAATATTAATACGGATTTTTAGACTGCCAGGCAATAACAAAAATAAATTGTCAAAAATTGACTGTAAAAAAATGACCGTAAATCTATATAAAATATGTATATTAAAGTTAAGAAGTGAGAGTCATGGCTTTATCGACTAAGCAAATGATCCTGATTGCGAACTTCTAACTAAAATCTTAGTAGCCTTGCAACGGATTACAAATATATAAAAGTACACATGGATAAAAATAAAAAAATCAAATTCAAGAAAGGCCAAAAAGAAACAAAGAACCGCCAATACAAACAATAATACACATTGTAAGTAGAGTCAACTGCCCTTAATGCCACCCATTTGTTTGGGGCCCTAACAAGAGTACGGATATAATTAAACCTATCGGCCTGAGAGCAGTTGGCCAAACTTCAATCAAACATTTAACCAAATTAGTAGCGTTTCTGGCAATTGGCAGTGGTTAAGAGGGGGGCGGGGGAGAGGGGTGTGGCACAAAGAGGTGGTGAAGGGGCGGACAGGAAGTCACGCAATTGTTCCGTTTGCCCGCAAAAGTAGGCAACAGATTTTTGTGCTTCAATTAAATTTGATTTGCTGCCATTCAGTGGAATGAAAATGGGTACTGAGGATGCCCATATCGCCATCGTCCTGATGAAGCTGTGCGACATTCGTGTATGCGCAATTTGATAAGACCCCGCCTTTTGGACCCTCTTTACCCATCATTAGTTTCGCAGTTTGTGGACCTTTTTTGCGCTCGCTTGCCACAAATTTAGTGCCATGTGCGTGTGTGTGTGTGGGTTGTGTGTGGGGGGAGGGGGTTGTGGGATTCAGGACCCCATATCCCCTTATCCCCTTTTGCCCATTTTTGGCCATTACCTTTGGCAGTTGCGCCTGGAAATGACATTTTCACATCATTTGCTGATGTGGCAAATGTGTCGTCTGGCTCTTCAGCTTTTTCCCAGTGTCTCTCCGTATCGCTTCTCTCTGTGTATTACCCCCTCCCCTCCCTAACCTAATCCCCTCTTAACCCACCCATAACCCTCGTTGACCTGCGGTCAGCATTGAGTGCTGGACTCTCCCCCCAACAACCTTTTTTTTGTCATTTCCGTTTGTGCGAAATTTTCGGATATCCTCGAATGCAGCCTCATCCAATGGGCACTGAACCACAGCCAACCACATCCACATAACTTGCACAATTTGAGGCAAACGACGACAGCTTCCAATCATAATGCCAATGAAATGAACTGGCCCAAAAGCCACCTCCCCCTCCCCTCCCCCCTTTTCTGCCTTGAATGTCAGGCTCAATAAACTCCAAAAGCAATCTCTCAGCATGTGTGTTAATATGGGTGCTGGTACTGGTACACTGGTGTTTTTCAGGTTTCAGGTTGCACTTGGCATTGCCCTTTTTTCTACCCTGTTAAAGAATCAAGCATTTAGTCTTATTTTTTTGTGATATAAATACCCTGCTACTATCTTAATATTTATGGAAAAATTTATCTTAAAAATGGATTTTTTAAAACATTCTTTTCTTAAAGAATTGACTTTTAATTTTGTGCAGTAATATTCAATTTGGTTTTTTTTATAAAATAACCAAAGGACATTCTTTTTGCCTAACATCATTACTTAAGATATATTTTAAAATATATATTTTAAGCTGATTTATATTTTCAACTAACTTATATTTTTAACAGATTTGATCCAATTACCAATATGCTGACTCTAGATAAAGTCCTCAAAGGGCATTCACTTTCCTTAAAATCCTTGTTCTTAGGGCATCAAAAGATGCATATATCCTGAACAATATTCGTAGCAGGGCACTGCACTTTTCACTTTGGCTGCTGCCCGACACGATTTGCACTCTCGTTGCCTTTGGCCTGCGAATCCTTTGGCTGTTTATGATGTCCCTAAGGCGGCACACCAACACACACACACACACACACACACTCACATCCTCGTCCTGCAGATTGCATATGCGCGGAAAATCTGCTGCAAATCATTTAATATTTCGCCTGCGGCTTCATCTTCTCCGACTTTGTGGATTTC